GGTGATTTCCAAGTACTGACCTTGCAGTTAGCAGTTCGAGGAGTCATCACTGTGCCATTAAGTTTCGATCTTGCTGTCAACAGCCAGTGCTGGAGACAGCAGGGCACAGTGGGAGGAAACTCTACTTGGCAACCAGGAGACCAGCGTCTGGCCACCTGTGTCCTGGACAAGTCACTTCCCCTTAGCTCCCTTGAGAACATGCCGAGGTTGAATAAAGATGTCTGGGGACCTTGTGCTTTGCTCAGAAGAGTCTGTCGTATTGCCCTTAACTGGCCTGACCCAAGGTCTCTATCTGAGATGGCTTAATGGGTCTCATGTGGATTTAAGAACATTTACCCAGAAAAATATCAAGGTGGGCAGGGCTGCTGAGTGGAAATGGGCCTGGAGGGATGGACCTCCAGAGGGGAATCTCCGCACAATTAGAAAATGAATTGCACAGTGTAAAACAGCCAGGACAGGGCTAGGAAGCTCCTTTGCAAGAGAGGCTTAGGAATTACCTAAGAAACGTTCTTGGGGGCAGTGACTAGAGACCCCTTTATGCAGCTGTCTCTCTCTCTCTCTCTCTCTCTCTCTCTCTCGCTCTCGCTCTCTCTCTCTCTCGCTCTCTCTCTGCCAACGAGTTGATGCCAACTCACAGCGACCCTATAGGACAGGGTAGAACTGCCCCTGTGAGTTTCCAAAGCTGTGATTCATTATAGGAGTAGAAAGCCCCATCTTTCTCCCGAGGAGTGGCTTTTGGTTTCCAACTGCTGACCTTGAGGTTCGCAGCCCAACTGGTAACCGCTACACCACCAGGGCTCCTGATGAGAAAGGCAGAAGGGGCTTCTGAATGAATGTTATAGCAACTTGTTTCATCATCCTGAACTGCGATTAGCGAAACCCTTATCTTTCTCTTGACAAAAAAACCAAAAACGCAAAACCAAAGCAGCTGCCGGGTGTTGACTGTGTGTGCGGCGCCGTGCGCGGTGGCGTGTTCCATCGCCGATGTTCAGCATTTCCAGCCCTGTCTGCTGCGGTGCCTTTGGGTGGGCCGGAACCGCTAATGCAGCGGTTCTCAACCTGTGGGTCGCGACCCCTTTGGGCGCCGAACGAGGCTTTCACAGGGGTCGCCCGATTCATAACCGTAGCAAAATGACAGTGATGAAATAGCAACAAAAATAATTTGATGGTTGGGGGGGCCACCACAACACGAGGAACTGTATGAAAGGGTGGCGGCATTAGGAAGGTTGAGAACCAGGCCTCTACCGTGTCCTTTAGGAGCTGAGTACACTAACCATTTTGGCACCACCTGGGGACACCGGGAACTAAAAATAGCATGAGTGAAAACCAGCGGTCAACAATTCATTTTGATTTCTTGAGATCCATTGGGAAGCTTGTAGACATTTTTTCAAAAGGAAGAAAAGACAAGTCCTTCTTTGCTTAGCCAATAATCTCAGCTTAAAAAAAAAACAAAAACGGGGAACTTTCCAGATGGAATAAAGTTTCGCGTAAGATTAATATGGTGCTGTGCCATTTCCACGGTGTATGCGAGATGACATGCGACAACAATCTCGGCGTGGAGCCCTAGTGGCTGGGCGGGCTATGTCAGCAGTGTGAAGCCACCTGCTGATCCACAGGAAAAAGAGGAGGCTTGCTCCTCCCATAAAGATTTATTATCTCAGACCCCCCACAGGGCAGTTCGACTCTACCTTGCTGGTAGCCGTGAATTGGGAATCGGCTGGACGCTGCATTTGGCATGTCAGGAGAAAGGCGATGGGTGGGCATTTGAGTTTGAGACGTGAGAAGGTTTGAGAGGGCAAGGAAACAGGAAGGAAGGCATGGAGTGAGGACCCAGTGGTGGTTAGCCCACCTGGCGCTTTTGGGTGCCCTAGAAATAGGCATCTCTTCCTCTGGGAAGAGGCCCCCGGTAGGGACGCAGAGCACTGGCTGGGCTTGAGGAGGGAGCGGAGGTCAGCTAGCCTGGACTGTAAAGCACACGCCATCGGGCGTGGCTAAAAGAAGGGCTGGAGTCCCAGCTTCAAGAGGTGGGTCCGATGCGACCAGAATCCCACCCAGAGGGGAAGATGAACACACAGAACTCGCTTAGGATTGGTTCTATGGCTCAGGGGAGCCACTAGTTTAAACCCCTGACTCGCGGGAAAAGATGGGGCATACTTTGACCCGTGTCTAATGATTAATCTCAGTTCTCTCTCTGTTTTCAATTCCAGGGTACGGAAATGGCTAAATATTTTGAATGTCTGGTCAGAAATGACCCCTTCTTTGAAATTCCTGCCAAGAGGCACCTTGGCCTGGTGGTTTTTCGTTTAAAGGTAATGCCGTCGTCCATGGTCTCTAGTGAATGATGTTACCCAGTGTCGTACCAGACTTCACCTCTCTTTATCCTTCAAACAGGGGCCAAATTGTCTCACAGAGAGTGTGCTCAAGGAAATTGCCAGGTCTGGCCTTCTCTTCCTCATCCCGGCCACAATCCAGGACAAGCTGATTATCCGTTTCACAGTGACATCCCAGTTTACCACCAGGGACGACATCCTGAGAGACTGGAACATTATTCGAGATGCTGCTACGCTCATCCTGAGCCAACACTGTACTTCCCAACCTAGCCCTCGGGTTGGGAACCTCATCCCTCCAACCAGAGCCATGGCCGAGGGAATGCCCCTTTCGTCTGCCACTGGGGCAGGGGATGACCCAGCGCAGACCAGGAAGGTCATCAAGCAGCCTCCCCGTGTGGGAGCAGGCCCTATAAGAATGGAAGATGGCCATGATCTTGAAACCCCGATGGACCCCGTGGATGACTGCTTTTTAGAAGAGGCCCCGGATGTCACCCAGCACAAGCTATCTTCTCTCCTGTTCAGTGCCCCGTCTGTGCAGAACAAGAAGAGGGTGCGTTCCCTCAGCTGCAACAGTGTGTCCGTGAGTGTTCGGACGTCGCTGCCCTCAGATGGCGCCGCGAAGAATGGGGGCTCCAGGGTGAGGATTCTTTCCAGGTTTCCAGAAGAGATGCTGCTGCTGAAGAAAAGTGCCTTCAAGAAATTAATTAAGTTCTACAGTGTCCCCAGCTTCTCTGAATGCAGCCCTCAATGTGGGCTCCAGCTGCCCTGCTGCCCTCTACAGGCCCTGGTGTGAGCCAGGGGGTCTTTAGCTAGGGCCCACAGTGCAGTTCAGGGAGTCAGGGAACCCCTAAAAATTGTGTGCCAACTTTGTGTGCTATGTGTGTGTGTATGCTTTTTTCTTGTGAGAGTGTTCATAATTTTTTATCAGAGTCTTCTAGGGGTTCATAACCCATTCTAGGCTACAAATAGAGCCTCTTCTCAGCACGGCCCAGCAGGTCCCAGCAGAAAGGCCAGGAGACAAGCTGGGGGTAGTAGACTGACCAGCAGCTTCTGTGGTTTAGCTTGTGGCATGACATACAATGTAAAAATAAATCGTGCTTGTCTCTGAAACCAAGCAGATCCTTGTGTGATTTAACAAACCTCTAACAATGGAATAATTAACCGAAGGGTGGGTGGGTGGGTGGGAGAGAAGCATTTCTTAGGATTGTCATGAGAAAGTATGGGTGCCATCTGACCCTCACTGACTTCCCACGTGGGGAGGAGGACAATCCCCATCAGACACGGACCCTCCCTCGAGCCTCCCTTATCAATTCCAACACCAGCTGCCCCTCACACAGCATGCTCCATTTCTCAGCTGGGTGGGATAATTCATGGCATGGGCCACATAACACTCAGACTGTACTCATAATCATGGGACTTATTAGGGAACTGAACAGGTTACAATGCAGCAGTAGGAATTCTGAGGTCACAATTCTTTGGTCAGGAGAGCCTCTTCTCAGCCAGCCCCCCAGCTGACCTCTCTCTGGCTCTCGGCTCTTTGGTCCCTTGCTCAAAGCTCTTCCAGGGCTCCAGATAAAAGCCCAAAGGGCATGCCACTCCTCCACAAGCCTCCGACCACAGGCACTCAGCTCTAGCTTCAGGGCCAGCAAAGCCAATTCCCCTAATGAAAGTACCCAGTGTACCCCACTCCACAAGTGGCTGGCATGCACTCAGCTTAATTTGCTCGGTGGGCCAGGAAGCCCACTGCTCTGTCTCAAGCTCTGGCTCTTGCTTCTGGTGTCAGAGCTTTCTGTTCCCAGATTGAAGCGGTTCCAGGCACAGGCATTTCAGGGTATAAAGGACACACTCCACTGTTGGCTCTTATTTTCCGGGTGGTAGTGACATCCCCTCTTCTGCTGCTCAGATGACTCACTTGATACCCAGTAGGATGGCAAACCTGACCAATCACCTGTTAAGAGTTCCAAGTTTTTACATTCTGTATTAACCTTGTTAACCATCACACACACACACACACACGTTATATAATCCTACTGGCATCTTCTTATATGGTCTGAAAAGAAACCAGAGTAGATGGTAATAATTTTGACCAGGAGCCCTGGTGGCATAGTGGTTACGTATTGGGCTGTGATCTGAAAAGTCCATAGTTCGAAACCACCATGCACTCTGCAGGAAAAGGACAGTCTACCTCGCCTGAGGGTTGCCGTGGGTTGGACTTGACAGTGGCAGTGAGTTCAGTGTGGCATTATTCCTCTACCTTCTTTTACCAGACTCATCAGGAAAAAGTCCTTTTGGGGGGAGGTTACAAAGACTGTGGCTAGAAGAGCCCGATCAAATGATTTGCTGCACCACAACTGGATACTCTCTATGATCGATTTTATGTACTTATTAATAATTTTCCAATTAGCATATAGTTCACATATCATACAATTAACTAGCTCAGTCATAAGAAGAGTGGTGCAATCTTCACCACAGTCAATTCTAGATTGTCTTCTTCTTTCTGGGATTCATTGTCAGCTCCCTATTTCCCCCCAACCTCCACTGCCAGGCCCCTAGGTCATTATTGACCTAGTTATTGTGCCCATTGATTGACCTATCCTGGGTTTCCTATAGGGAAAAACATACAAAATAACCCCCCAAATAGCGACAAAATAAAACAAAGAAAAACCTGTATGGAAAAGAAAGCATAAAACATTACAAATTGGAACAAACTTAAAATGGGTCAAAAGGGAGATGAAATGATGTCACATTGAAACCGACTTTATGATGCTCTCTGTCTGAGAGCCAGGTGCGTCATAGCTCCAGTCTAGAGTTGGAGGCTCAATCCTTTTGGGCACCCTATACATGGATTTTGGACTTCCGCCATTAACCACAGCCCTCTACAAGCTTGTTCTTTAGAATTTATGCTCTGATACTGTTCCTCCCTCCAGATTTGAATTTTATTCTTTATGATCTTTGGATCATACAGGCTAGTGTGCCTTTCTGTGTGGACTTAGTGGATGTTTCACTTAGATGGCTGCTTGTTTGAGACAAGAGCCCGGCACTATTCTTTCTGATAGCCAGGCGCCATCTGAGTTCATCACACTCCGCGATAACACCCATTTCTTCCGTGTTCTCATCATGAGAGTGAGAACTGAGTAGGGCCATGTCAGAAGAACGAATTGTGCATAGATTAGGCCTAAGGTTAGGTGTGAACCCAAAGCCCACTCATATACCTTTGGTTTATATGGGTCCTTGGTTCATTTTAGAGACAGCATGATCATTTTACTAGAGAGCATTACAAATCCTCCCCAGGAGGCATAAGAGAGTTCTATGGATAACATCAGTAGTTTAGCTAAAGGGAGTTCTACTGATAATATCAGTAGTTTAGCTAGTGGTATAGCATGTAGAATATCTGAGCAAAGGAAATTAAACATGTGTATGCTAGCTTTTTAGACCCCTATACATGAGTTTTGACTTGTACAGATTTAAAACTTAAGGGACCGGACACCATTTACACAAACAGTGAAGGCTGGGGATAGGGCGAAACTTTCAGTTACACTCATTCACAAAGGCAGAAGCTCGCCTGCTTGACGAACACACGCCATAAAAAAGCGGAGAGAACATGAACTTGTATACGTATGGCAGTCCCGTGCTTTGGGCCCCCTGAGAGCAAGGGATCCAAACCCAAACGCAACACACACCAATTCCATGATTTGCTAGCCCCCCCCCCCCCACACACACACACTAGGGTGTTTCCACCTTCAGCCCAATGGGAGTATTTCTGTTTCTAGGATTGCTTTCCATTGGCCACAGTGGATCAAGACAGAGAACCCCAGTTGGTCAATAAGTGTAAGTGGGTAATCAATGTGAATTTCTCAGAATAACTGCCGGCTAAAGATGACAGAGTAAGGGAGGGTGCCTTATGCCAGACTTTTCCTGAACCCAAACTTTAAGTCACGAAGATTGGAGTTCATAGAAGAGATTCCAGCCCTGATGAACTAAACTGTACTAAGCACATACAATGAGTAACTTAGGATTTTTTTTCTTTTTCTTTTCTCTCTCTGTGGTTCTCAAAAAAGTATCTCTTTTCTCTTCTCCAGTGGCATCAGCATCACCTGGGAATTTATTACAAATGTATGTCTAAACTCTACTTTCACCTCCGTGTTTTAACAAGAGTGGAGTCCTGGCGGCTTTTTACTCCTGTAAAGAGTTGCACCCTGTCTTGTAGGGCAGCTCTGAGTCAGAATCAGAATCAACTCGATGGCAGTGGTTTGTTTTGATTTTAATAAGACACCTAAGTGATTCTTGTTGCTACAGTTTGACAACCACTTCTCTAGGTGAACAAGAAGATTCATAATCTATTTCTCTTCCTCTTCCTCTTTCTTTTCACCATATAGAATGGCTGCAGGGGAAATCAGATGTTTATCGGGGTCGCTTGATGAATAGGAAATGATGGATTATTGTCTATTATATTACAGGAGCCTTAGTGGTGTTGTGGTTATGCGTCCGGTTGCGATCCTCATGGTCGGCAGTTTGAAACCACTAACTTGGGAGAAAGACTGGGTTTTTGTATTAGTCTGTATTAGACTAGAGAAAATTTATAGACACTCATAGGTGTATAAGAAAGGGCTTTATATAAAGAGCAATTGTGCATTAAGAAAATATTCCATCCCCATCCAGATCAAGTTCTTAAGTCTGATATTAGCCCATATGTCTGATACCAATCTATAAAGTCCTCTTCAGACTCATGAAACACATGCAATGACGCCAAATGCAGGAAGATCACAGGCCAGTGGGTGGGAAGTCTTGTGGATCCAGTGGCGTTGTAAGCATCTCAGCGCTGGCAGGAGTCTCCAATGAATTTGTTTCTCTAATCTACCCAGACTAACTCAGTTTTCTACTCCTGTGAACAGTTACAGTCTTGGAAACCCACAGGGGGTCACTATGAGACAGCATTGACTTGCTGGCTGTGAGCGAGTGAGGAACACAATGACCAGCAAGACAGACATGGACCCTGACCTCATGGAACTTACAGTTTCATAAAAGCACACACTCTGAACAAAGGGAAATGGATTATATCATCGCTATCTACCTATCTGTATAAAATTACATACTGCTCTGTGCACTTGAGGAGGCAGGTAGGCCAGGCAGCCCATCTCTCCTTGAAGAGTCCTGGGGTTAAGAACCACTGTCTTTCTTGTTAGCTGCTTGTCTACAGATTTCATAAGCCCCACCCATTGTAATGACGACATAGTTATTGCATCAAAGTTAAAACACATAGCATTCTTTCTAGGAGCCTTTCAAAG